CAACAAGACCTTTGGACTTTTGCTGGTTTTTCTTCATCTTTTTATACTTCTCCTTCAGTTTTGAATATTTCTCATCTACAGTCCTGGAGGATGAAGTAGCTTTGGAAGATGGCVTCACAGTCTTCTTAGATCTGCATTCACCTGCAACGTGACCTGGCCGGTGACAATTGTAGCAGACAGCTGAAGCCTTGTCTATTCTYTCAGACTTTGGCTTTTCCCTTAGGGATAGCTGAGAAGACCTGCGGAATTTACTCTTATTGGCAAACCTCCTAAATGACTTGGTTAGGAGTGCCAGGGACTCATGAAAATCTGAAAGAGCAGATTCTGGAATGTCCTCAGAAGAGTCCATCTCCGTAATAACTACGGGAGGTAGAGAAGAAACAAAAGGAGTAAAGGTTTCAACCAAAGGAGCTTCAGAGATCAAAGCTAAAGAAGAGCTTTTCATTTCCCTGGATTCTTTTACAAGATTTCCTTTTAGTTGACGAGATTGCTCATGGTTAAGCAGAATCCCGTATAAAGTAGAAAGAGAAAGAGTGGACATGTCGTTTGACAGCTTGAGACATATGGAAAAGGTATCCCAAGATTCAGGAAGACATTCTAGAAACTTTGTCAAGGTTTCAGAGTTAGAGTACTCCCTACCGACAGCCCTTAGATCAATAATAAGGCAATTAAATCTTTGATGTACTTCAGACAGCGTCTCAGACTTTCCACAGAGAAAGCTTTCGTACTGTTTTACAAAATTGATCTTTCTATTCTCTTGAACCTGAGTGTGTCCAGAAGTCATTGGTGTGGAGTCATCAAAGGACACATTGATGCTTTTTATAACAATCTATGTCCTTTTGATGTAGACTCTGTAGGCCTTTGCGGGTTGAGAATATCCCAGAAAGATCCCTTCATCAGCTTTCTTATCAAACTTGCCAAGATATTCCCTATCATTGAGTACAAAGCATTTGCACCTAAAGACATGGAAATACTTGACATTTGGTCTTCTTTGATTGATGAGCTCATATGGTGTCTTTTGGTACCTCTTGTTATTGAAAGACCGATTCTGGGTGAAGCAGGCAGTAGAAATAGCTTCAACCCAGAAGGTGATGGCTGATGAAGCAAGCATGGTCCTTGTTGCTTCCACGAGGGTTCTTGTTGGTCCCAAACGGGTCTACAAGAATACTAAACAGTTTGTAGAAGGGGAGGATGAATACAAACACAATTTTCAAATTTAAAATATATATTGATAGAGAAGATCAATACAGATTTTACAAGATTGTTTGCGGAAAGATAAGGTATAAGAAACCTATCTAACAATCTTAAGTTACACACAAAGGTTAGCAAATACA